AAGCAAGACGGCGCTCTGACCGATCTCAGGCAGTTAGCAGTGTGAATGCTGAGTCAGCAGTCGTGCCGTTTTTAGCTGTTCATCCATCACAGCGTTCAGCTCATTCAGGACATAAATGTCCTCGGATATACAACTAGAGTTGTTTCATTCTTTCAGAAACATTGTTCACTTTGGAATCTGTGTCAGCAAACTGCCTGTTTTTGTCTCTGTGCAACTTCCAGCTTATAGCGATTAACATGCTACCATTAGCTTTAAGCTAGCATTTTTCTAATTTAGCTATAGTGTCTGGTTTATTATCATTAGCTACTGTTTTAGTAATTTAGCATCAGTATAACAATTTTAGCAACAATTTTGCTAATGTTTACTGTATGTTTTGCTCATTTTTCCTAGTTTGGAAATGTTAGCTACTGATTTCCTAATTTAAGTTTACCATCAGTTTTGTTAACTTTAGCTTAAATATCTCTTTAGCTAACTTTAGTTACAATTTAAGCTTTACCATTAAAAAAATGTAACATTGTAGTAGTTCTGTTTCATTTTTAACTAATGTAGCATCAGTTTAGCAATGTTTAGCTATAGTTTAGCTAGTTTTCACAACTAAATGTTTTTTAGCTACTACAGTTTAGCCAATTTAAGCTTTGCCATTTTTTAAAAAGCTTTGTTACATTATAGTAGTTCTGTTTTATTGTTAACTAATGTTTTACAAACTTAGCATCAGTTTAGCAATGTTTAGYTATAGTTTTGCTAGTTGTTGCTCAACTAAATGTTTTATAAATTTTAGCTGGTTTTGAAATTTTTGCTACTGATTTGCTAATTTAGGTTTACCATGAGTTTTGCTAACTTTAGCTGTAGTATTTTTCTTGCCAATTTTAGCTACTTTTTTGTGAAATGCATGCTTAGCCACTGATTAGCAATTATTAGCTTAAAAACAGTTTTTCTCATTTTAGTCAATGTTTTCTAATTTTAGTTTTATTATTGTTTGCTTGTTTCAGCTTTAAGATCTGTTTATTAATTTTAGCTACAAATWTGCTAACTTTAGCTTAGATTTGGTTAGGTAATTTTAGCCACTATTTAGCTAATATTAGCTTTAAGAAAGGTTTGAGCTGTTTAGTTTTGCTCATTTTAGTTTTACTGTATATTTTGCTAATTTAAACTATAGTTTGTAAATTTTAGCTGCTGTTTTGCTGATCTTAGATTAGCTTCCTCTGATTATTTTAGCTTTAGCTATGTTTTATGTTCAACAGAATTTAGCATTGCTTTGATAAGTTTAGCCACTGTTCTAATAAGTTTGGTTTTAGTGTTTTGTTGATTTTAAATTTTAATGTTTTGCTACTTAGTTGATGTTCTGTTTCTTTTAGCTTTTAGCTACTGTTCTGCTGCGTTCCGCACATTGTTATGCTTGTTTTAACAACTCAGTTTTATTTAGCAAGTCGTTCATCACTCAGCATTCACACTACGTTGTCACAAAAAATAATAATTTTTTTCTATAAAGTGTGTTTTTTGTGAGCCTGAGACGGACGAGTCGGGAGCAGACTAGAGTCTAATCAACAGCGAGCTCCATTTTTCCTCCAAGAACACGGCTGGACAATCGTTTCCTCCCAGGGACCAAATGGATCATCGTTTATCTCTCAGTTTGCATTCATGCAAACAGGCAGCTTCTCTAAATTTAGCAGCTCAGGAGCAGATGAATAATTGACTGATTTCAAAGTGCTGTGGTGTCAGACTCTCATGTCCAGTCCCTTCTTAACCATGCTTCTATAAACGTGGATTAAATTACAGTTTGATACGACGCTGAGAGGGGAAACACGATCCCAATTTCATGCTTTTTGTTTYAATCTAAGGCCTATRACCATCTGCTTTTGAGTAAAGGGATAGTTCAGATCTTTTGTGGAGAGGTTATGTACAATTACTATCTTACCTGCTGTAGATAGCTCTTTAAGTGACCTCAGTTTGGAGAAACAATATTTCTGTCTGTGGTGACAAGCTAATGGCTAGTCTGAGCAGTGCTGACTGTACGAGGTTGGGTCCAGGAGGGCATCCCAAGCTGGACAAGATCCACCCAGGAAATTCTGGATCCACCCAGTGGCTGCAGAACGATGGGGCTCCTCAAGATCTCACCTCAGCTCATAAAATGAGTTATGGTGCGTTCACACCAAACGTGATTTCAGCGTCAGGAGCCTCAGGTTTACATACAAAGTCTATGGTGGACGTGCTTCAATCAGCGTCGGGAAGTGCTGCGGCGCCTCAAGCGCGATTAGAGCAGCGCGATTTGAACTATCTGAGCGTTCGACGCGCTGAGGCACAAATCGCTGAAGTTAGAAAATCTGAACTTTTGCAGCTCGATGCGCCGCGTCAACCAATCAGAGAGACTCCACTGTGTGACGTAGCGACATATTTCCCGACGGGACAGTTTACTGAATGATGTCCACTAACCTGAAACAGATGGAGAGGCCACTTCCTCGTCCGACATTAAACAGAGCCCGACAGAGGAGGGAGGGGCGGGGAGGCTGTTGCCGTGCAGCGCTTCAAGAGCTGACCTGCGTCTGACCTCAAAGTGCACAAACGACCAACTGAAAGCGTTGGCTGCGATTTTGAAGCTGAAATCGCGTTCGGTGTGAACRCMGCATAAATAATGGATTTCWATGCTGWTGATTTTTACCCTGAATGAACACTAGAGGGCAGTAGTTATTTTAAATTTAYGGGAGCATTACAAACAATTATGACAAGACAAACAATAAAATTTATAAGGATWTTCAGGTTTTGTCAGGAACAGCAARATCAAAAGATAAATAAAATAAAAACGAGCTGATCTCCTCCCCACAAGACCTTCTAGTTAAGCCTGCTCTTGAATCCAGACAGAACTAATCAGAGGTTGTTCCAAGAGCCATCTACAACAGGTAAGATGATTATTGTTCACCACAAAYCTAAACATTCCCTTTTTAATTAAACACATAATATAAAAAAAGCAGTCGATTAAACCTTTTAAATTTCATCAGCTACAGCAAACATTTTTCATATTTATACATTTTTTCGAGCACAATTAGAGGATTGAGGAAGGTAATGTTCGTTTACTGAATTACAAAATCCAAATAATAAAGCTGATTAAATAAAAAAAAAAGGGAAGCTGCGCCCATCTCGTGTGTCTTTATCTTACTCTTAATTGCTAATTTTAAGCCAAAACATTAAAGCRATTGATCTTATGATGCAACTAACATGCTAACAGACAGAGCAACATCCAGACTGATTTGTATTATTTTTTTGTTTTTAGTTGAAGTTGCAGGAATCAGAGTGGATGTCCCCCATCCCCTTGACCCACTAAGTTGCATCATCATCATCGTCGTAAAGCTTACGGCCCCTCGTTTGGTTCTTCTTGTGTCTTTTTCCTGTTAAGAGCGCACCCTACTGGGGGGTCAAGTGGACTAGTTTAAAAAAAAAAAGAAACACGACTGACATCACAAGCACAGGTACTGCTTATCAAGCTCTATCAGACAATCTACAGACTGTTTCTACGGTTGCTACAGCTACGACAGGTAAAGTAATCAGCATGCTTGCAGAGGAAGAGAGGAGCAGTGTGGCATGTGGGTGAGGGACACTGACACTCGAAGTCCATTGATATCCATTAATATAAAAGAATAACATTGATATAAAATTAAAATAATGGTCAAAGACTGAAGATGGTGGATCGTTTTACAGCATCTGTTTAAAACAATATTCAAAATGCTGCTTAGATTTCAACTTAAAGGGATAGTTTGGATAATTTAAAGTGATGTTWTGTGGAAAGGTTTTAAACGATCAATGTTTTATGCTTTATAAAAGCTCTTTGGCTAACATCAGTTTAATTTCTGATCGAATTCTTGAGCGAACAGCTGAACAGGGCCGAGAGCTAACTGGATTGTTTCTGTCGTAAAACAACTCCRGTCTTTAAAAAAGTGGCTCACGGTTCAATCTTCACATAGATGTTAGTTTTACAATAAACTATCAGAAACATTAAACATAAAACAATATTTCAGCTAGCTTCTGATGCTACAGCTTTTGTTAGTAAATAACTACGAAAGTGTACAGAAAWAAATCAAATCTTAAACATTTCTWTGCAAATATTTGCTAAACCTTTACACCACTAATAAGTTTACAATATATGTTTGTTTACAAATATCTTTATTTGCAAAGCAAATTAGCAACGGCTAAAGCTAGCAGTAGCATAGCGGTGTCTAGGGCACGTCCTGCACAAATGACCTTATATAAMAAAACAGAAAGAAGTGTAAAGTTTTCTTATTAGTTTACTCATAAACTGCTTTTTGAGATTTAGACCTGTTTTAAGATTATGGTATGTTTTGGTCTAATTTTTCACTCAGATTAGCCATTAGCTCGTCACTTGTCAATAAAACAATCTCTCTGGAGCAATGCTGCGGGAATATACTATTTATTTAAAAATAATGATTTGATACAGCACTAAAAGCGGTGGTACATTTTATAAATTAGTCTTCTAATGAACTGCTCTGGAAATTTTGACACTATATTTGTTTTAGGAGAACTAAATTCTCCTAATCTGCTCAGATTAGCCATTAGCWTCTCAGTAGCATTGCTGTATGATGTACTTCCTGCAGGAACATCATAATATTTAGGCTAAAATAACAATTTAAGACAACAGTAAGAGCAGTCAAAAGTTTTATAARTTATTATTCTCATGAAACACTTTWAAAAATGTTGAGATTAGACTTGTTTTTCATTCAGATTAACCATTAGCTTGTCCGTCGTCAGCAGAACAAACAAGCTTTCTAAAAAAAAGCATTGAAAGCAGTGTTAATTAAAAAAAATTGCATTCTCATGAACTGTTTTGAAAGCTGTAAAATTATCCAACAGTCCATTTTGGTTGTTTTGTCTGAGATTAGCTGKTAGCTTGTCAGTAGCATAATGCTGTTTGAAGCATTTCCCATAGGAATATCTTGATATTTATGCAAAAATAACTAATTAACACAACACTGATAGGAGTGTAAAGTTTTACAAATTAATTTTCTCATGAACTGCTTTGAAAATAATGAGATTGAAGTTGTTTTTAAGATGACAATGGTTCACTTTAGTCTTGTTTTTTGCTCAGATTAGCTATTAGCTTGTCTGTCATCAGTARAATAAGCTGTCTTTGGTGTTTCCTGTAGAAATATACTGTTTGTGAAAAATAACTATTTAAAAAAAAGCATTGAAAGCAGTGTTAAATGTTTTAAATTAGTATTCTCATCAACTGTTTTGAAAACTGTAAAATTATCCAGATTAGCAGCAGTCCATATTGATTGTTTTGTCTGAGATTAGCTGTTGGCTTGTCAGCAGCATAATGCTGTCTGGTGCATTTCYGGTAGGAATATCATGATATTAATGCTAAAATCATTTAATTCAACACTGATAAAGTTTTACAAATCAATTTTCTCATGAACTTCTTTGAAACCTTTCAGATTGGAGTGGTTTTAAGAAGACAGTGGTTCATTTAGGACTTGTTTTCGCTAATATTAACCAKTAGCACGTCAGTTTGGTCGGACTTAAACTATATTTTAAACAGAGGTCATTTAGAAAGATATTGATAATAAAGAAGATAACCCTTCCACAAAACCACACTTCAAAACACCCGAACTATTACTCTAAAGACAATTTTTCCCCAAATGAGGCTCCCAAACTAACATCTAAACCTTCACCAAAAATATTTACGACAGTCTTCAGCTCTTKATATAAAACTAACTAAAGAATCGTTTGATTCAATGCATACAGAGTCATAAAAAGGACAATATGTGACAAGAAGTAGACAGGAAATCAAATAAAAACCRAACTTTCTTTTTCTTAGTAGCATTTTAGCAAAACATAGTCGCCAAACGCTACATCCTCCATGGGAAACATCCAAAGCGCCAAGTTTTCTGAGCAATAACAACAAAAATTCAATCTGTTTTATTTGATCTGGTCTGGCTAATTTGTCGTGCTTTTTCAGAACCGTCTCACAACCTCTTACAGCAGATTTTTTCCCAACAAACTGTGAAGAAATTGCACAAAACCCGACACTTTCATGCTGCAACAAAAGTGTTAAAATCATTCAAAACTGTTGTTTTTTTCCTGCTTGCCTTGTCACAGTGAAAGTCTAAAGGCTTCAGAGTTTCTTATAAATAAAATAAATTRTTCAAACATCGTCTTCACCTGAAAATATACCCTGAAAAAGGCATGCACATTTCAGACCACAAGGACGCTGGAAATTAAACAAGAAATTATGACAAAGAAAATCATGACGAAGCAAAAAAATAAAATAAAAAAGTAAACTTATTAATTGAAATCCATGAGTGGAATCCTGAAATAGACATGTTGGTAAGTCAGACAACACGCTGGGTTTTTTCTTCTTAGGAGGACTTGACCGTCACGACTGCCTTGAAAAATGGATTTGGGAACAAAAAAGATAGAGAACACCGTTGCATGCTCAMAGCAAAAATAACAACAACAACGAACTAAAGAAGTGCAGGACTGGTGCAAAAAAAACGATGGGATCAAGCAGTCAAAACAACAGGACATGATCAAAAATACACGSTCACGCACGGCATACACCACAACACCACCACCGCCAAAAAAATCAACAAAAGCACGACTACCAGGATTTACATCCAAACCAGAGGCAGGAAGGAAGAGCAGCCCAAGACAAAACATCACTGGCAGAGTGCTTGCTTTTGTCACCCCCAACCTCTTCCAATCCCCTCCTCAAAAAAAAAAAAAAAGTACCAATCCCGGACGTTTCCCCAAAATTCAGGACTCAGCATCTGAACTAGGCTGGCCTGACTGGTCCTGGATCTGGTCTTGTAGGAGCTAATTGAGCTATAAACCCTACATGGTGATGGCTGATCGATGGTGAAGGGACAGACACTTGGTCACGCCAGAGCTGCGTGGAAATGGGTGATCTGGACATGGGACTCTTTCGTGGTCAGATATGGGGATGTATGCAGAGAGGACAGAAAAAGGAGACAATTAGAGACAGAGGAAGAGGAGGAGGAGAGAAAAGACGAAGAGGGCAAGGGAAGTTGTTGCTTCTTCATCTCCTTACCGTGTCTTTGGAGGACCTACGTCTCTTGATGCTGGAGGCCAGGGTGGTACTGATGGACCTAAAAGAGGCTTTCTTTTTGGGGTCGGGCTCTGCTCTACCACTTTTCCTATCCTAAAATGAATATATGTAGAAACATTATTTGTGCTCTATGGCCAGGGCGATGACTTGCAGTCTCACCCGGTTTCTCTACCCACCACCAAAACCACCAGCACCCATCCCCCTCCCGCCCCCAATAATATTACCTTGTTCTTTTTTTTTTGTCTAAATGTTTGGAGGAAGGTTCTTAAAAAACACTACAGCATTTGAAAAAAGCAAAAAAGAGTGAGACAGAAAGGGATAAAGCTTGTTAGATGTAAGTGTGGAAGTAGTCTGTTCGGTCTGATATGAGGGTGTTGGTCTAGTTTGTCACACTCTGACGGCACAAGATGGCACGGTTGTCCTCTAGAAATGTGCTGACACATTCACTCTGCCCCTAGAAATGCACGGGAATGAGTGATGACTACTAAACATGTGATCCCTGGATCATTTTAATCACCTGAAGGCATTTCTGTTGCTTGAGTGGACACATTTAAAAATAAATACCTCTTAAAGTCACAGTGCAGATTTTTTTAAATGGTGTTCTGAGGAAAGGTTTTGAATTATTAATATCTTGCCTGTGGCAGATAGCTCTTTGAATGACCTCCWTTGGATTGACGAGCTGCCAGCTAGTTAGCATGTACAAAGTGGGTCACTATCMTCTTAAAACATCTTTAATAATGGGGACGTCCCTATGTTCACCCGGTATCTATGTTCTCTGAATCCCTATGTACCATCAAGACACACCAACCAACCCCAATGTTTCTTGGTACCTATGTTTCCCCAATCACCATCTTTTCCTTAGTACACTTATCCAAATTTTCCCCAGATTGCTATGAACCCCCAGGTACACTAAACCCAATGTTTCCTGGTACGTATGTTCTCTGTAGGACACCCATTCCATGTTCTCTAGATCCTTACGAYCCCCCAGTACACCTATCTCTATGTTCCTCAGATCCCTATGTACCCCCAAAACACAGACCCCAATGTTTCCTGGTACTTAAATTCCTCCGATCCTTATGTTCTCTGTAGTACACCCATCCCAATGTTTCCTAAATCCCTATAATCCCCGGTACCTAAGTTCCCCGGATCCTTAAGTTACCCCCACCCACTCCCTTTGCACATCATTGTGTTTCTCGCTACCTATGTTCTCTGAATCCCTATKTACCACCATGGCACACCGACCCCAATGTTTCTTGGTACCCGTTTCCCAGATTCCTATATTTTCCCTAGTACACACATCCATATGTTCCCCAGATCCCTATGTACCCCCCCGGTACACCAACCCCAATGTTTCCTGRTACTTATGTTCCCCCCAATCATTATGTTTTCCATAGGACACCCATCCTTATGTTCCCTAGATCTCTATGTTTCTCCTCTCCTTCACCCATCTCTATGTTCCCTATAGGTACATAAGTTTCTTAGATCAGTTAATCCCACCCCACTTCCTTCACCCATCCATATGTTCCCCAGATCCCTATGTACCCCCTGTTACCCCCTATGTTCTTGACATCCCTACGTATTTCGAAAGGCCATTTTCAATAATCTCGGCCTGGTAATCTGATAACTTGGTCATGCACATTATTGTAAGAAGGATTGTGTCATTTGTGTACCAAAGTTTATTTCTCCAAAYTGAGGTCATTCAAAAAGCTACAGTACCTACAACAAGTAAGACACTAACCGTTTACAACCTTTCCATAGAACCACTTTTCTAAAGRTCTTTGGTCTTCTCTACTCTACGCTGGATTCAGACAGCTTGTGAACATGTCTGTCAAAACAGAAGTGGAAACATTTAAATAATAGTTTGTCTTTCCAGATTGGTGCCCCACCCCCCTCCTCACACCATCAGAGTGCCCCACAGCTACCCTCACAAAAACTAACTGCATGATCTGTGTGTGAGAGAAAACAAAAATAACAACTCATATTAAGGTATCCTTACATCCTGAGTCTCTAGAGAGGAAGAGGGCTGCATAGAGGGGGGAGAAAAGAAAAATGAAATAAATTTTCATCCACCTGATCATTACTTTAAAGACGATCCTTAAGCAAATAAAGGGCAGATATTTATATATAAMTATATAGAATAAAAACTTAGCAAAGCAAACATCCACATCCAAAGCCAGGCAAGGTATAAAAAAATCGAGAAGCTACAGTGTTKGATGCCACTGAGTTGCATATCAAAAGAGGGGAAACAAGAGCGACAAAAGTCAGTAACTGAAGCCCATTTAAAGTCATTATACCGTGAATAAGCGGTATAATGGAAATTCACCCCACACACAAGGGAATGTGATGGAGTATGGTGGACGATTAAAGGAACTGAGATGGAATGGGTGCCCTCGCTTTGATTTAAGTGCAAAAAAAAGGTGGTTTGCTACTTCCTCTACGATGGATGTTGATAAAAGATGTGGTGCAGAGCAGCGTCGAGGGAGACCCTTGAGACGGGCAGGGCAGTGTGGTGTGAATTTCATCATGCCAAAACTTTTTAATGAATGGAGAGGGGAGGTGTAAAAAAACAAATAAATAAAAAGAAGGARAAAGGAGAAAAGAATAATAATTAAACATAAAACAAACAGCATGACAAATTAATCCTGGCCAGCACTGGCCCCGCAGTACATCCTCTTTCATCAGGTCACATGACTTGGCTCTTTCAGGGCACATTTGTACCCCCATCACCCCCCAACCCCCCTTCTCTCTCAACCCCCTGATGGCACCTCAGGTAAGCAGGTACAGGTGAGTGATCGGTGCCTGTCATTTACTAGATTTATGGTCCTGTTGGAAAATGACATCTCATGTTAGTAATGGGTTTCAATGCAACGTTTTTTTGTATTAATGGACAAAAACAACAACAAATAAACGAAATCAATGCCGGAGCGAGGTCGGCTCCCTTTCGTGTGACCTTTTTCTGGCTTCCCCGGCGTTTGTTTGAGGCCGCTCTGAGCCCTGATGAGGTGCTGCGTGCGCTCAGTCCCGGCCATGCTGGGGCATGCTGAACCATCGGGTGAAGCGAAACGATGGGACTACTCGCACACAACGCGCAGTCACCGCCCACCTCTGCGTCACTCCCATCGTTAAAGGCTCTGTTGTCGTTTCAAAGTAACACAGTTTTTGAGTTTCGTTCAGAGAGCGCACCCCTGACTAACATCTGACTGAAAAAAAGATGGAAAATGAACGAGTCTAAGCTGCAGAAAGTGACGTAAATCTTTATAACGACTAAGAAACCTTGACAAACTTGGCGTTGTCAGAACATTTTTGTGAATTTAGGGAACAAATCTATTTTTGTGTTTCTTTTAATCATTCTCTCTTTATTAAACTTCTTCAGTACGTTTTTTTTTGGCATGTAACTCCTTCCACAATTTTTGTGCTATTTCAACAATTCCTATATCAAAACATTCAACTCCTTTGGGACATTCTGGCTATCACTTTTGGTATTTCAGCAATTTATACTTTTTCAGTTATTTCACTTTTTCTGCCATTTTCTTCTCATTGTAAATTAACAGAACTGCCTTTAACATCCTTAAAACTAGGGGTGTAAGAAAATAGCGATACACTGAAATATCGCGATATTTCANCGTCTATACGGAACCAGGATTTATTTTACGTTTCATTCAGTTTAAGTGCTTCACACAGCCGTACAAACTAAAGCACTGGTTTCAACACGTACAGTAAGCATGCATGGGTATGAGCGAGGCTATGTGGGGGTGGGGGAGATTGCCTTTTTCTTTTAACAAAAAACAGATTTGTGGGATAATCGGCAAGTCTAAGTGACGTCGTTGGGGTGGCTCATTGGTAAATTGGCCAACATTTTTTTAGAGTTTCGTTTTGGGAGACTGTTCGGCGTAAAGTGCAGTGATGCAACCCCTTCCAAGGCTGGAAATGAGAAAGACTGCTGCTGCAGGAAAGAGGATCAGACGAGTCCCCCCAAAAAAAGGCCTTATTTTATTACCAAACTAATGCAACACAATGCTAATTATCATTATTTATTTTTATAAATAGTAGTCCAAGCTACTGATTACYCTTAAAATAACCGCCTTTGGCAAGCTAGTGCAAAATGAAAGGGATGGATATAGAATTTCAACATTTACAGAATKTCCTATAAAGCCTAAAAAGTGACATTATCATTCAAATACATAAAGCTGTTCTTCATATACAAGCACACACATGCTTTTCTTCAGGTATACAAGGCAAACTATCGTTTTAGTGCTATCGTAGTGCTTCCCAATAAAGATTTTTTTGCCTAAAATGTTTAAAGTGTCGATAAAAACACATAGTTCCTATTAAAAATAATTCCTCTCAGTTGAAGCTTACAGTACTTCTCMTATTGCACTAATACTAGCAGTATTTAGGCCCTAATTAAAAGTGATATGTCAGGTATAATATTTGCACCGAAGGGATTAATCCTCTAAAATTAGGCAAACTTAATGTAGCTCTCTAATCTGCGAAGCGAGTCGTAAAAACATCGAAGGTTTATGTGAGTAAAATGACAAAACAAGTAAGCTAATAATATATAGAAAGAAAAGATTGTATATGTGAAGCGGACATGTTTTTTTTAATGTTCCTGTGCATGCTTAGCAACCCTACAAACATCTACGATCAGGTAATCTTTTAAAAAAGGTGCTAAGTTCAGAGTTCACATGTTTAGGAAATGGATTTCCTTCCGACCTCCGCGGCTTCAGCTTTGCCGACGAAGGAGCCGCAGAGTCTTCGTCCCTTGCTTCCTTTCCTACGTCATCTTGTTCCCTCTCTCTCTCCTCGAAGAGCGTCGTCCTCTTTCTCATTGATTTTTTTTTTTGCTTTCACAACACGGTGCTGACGGACGGATCGGACAGGTTGAGTTGGCCTGTGGCGTCAGTGGGTGGGTACTGCTGCAGAGGTGAAGAAACATGGAGGCGGAAAGGATGACGGGGAGACACACAAAATGCCGTCAGGTCTTCGCCACAGACGCATCACACTGCAGTTTCACCYGAACAATCGATCGTTATTTTCTGCAGAAGCAAGACGGCGCTCTGACCGATCTCAGGCAGTTAGCAGTGTGAATGCTGAGTCAGCATTCGTGCCGTTTTAGCTGTTCATCCATCACAGCGTTCAGCTCATTCAGGACATAAATGTCATTGGATATACAACTAGAGTTGTTTCATTCTTTCAGAAACATTGTTCACTTTGGAATCTGCGTCAGCAAACTGCCTGTTTTTGTCTCTGTGTGACTTCCAGCTTACAGCAATTAACATGCTACCATTAGCTTTAAGCTAGCATTTTTCTAATTTAGCTGTAGTGTCTGCTTTACTATCATTATCTACTGTTTTAGTAATTTAGCATCAGTATAACAAATTTAGCAACAATTTTGCTAATCTTTACTTTACTGTATGTTTTGCTCATTTTTGCTAGTTTGGAAATGTTAGCTACTGATTTTCTAATTTAAGTTTACCATCAGTTTTGCTAACTTTAGCTTAAATATCTGTTTAGCTAACTTTAGTTACAATTTAGCCAATTTAAGCTTTACCATTTAAAAAATTGTTACATTATAGTAGTTCTGTTTT